CGTGACCTGGTCCGGGAGGATCCCACATGCCGCGGAGCGGCTGGGCCTGTGAGCCATGGCCACTGAGCCTGCGCGTCCGGAGCCTGTGTTTCTCAACGGGAGAGGCCACAGCGGTGAGAGGCCTGCATAACACACACACACACACACACACACACATACACACACACACACACAAATCCACATATAGGTGGACCCATGCAGTTCAAATCCATGTTGTTCAAGTGTCATCTGCATATTCATGGGAGAAGAAAAGTAAAAAAAGAAAATAACATCTTAGTGTTATTTTGAAAATAATTTGCACCCACCAGACACTTGAAAGAGTTCAGAGGACCCCTCCAGGGCTTCCCAGCCCGTATTTTGAAAACTGCTTGTCTAGGATAATGTTAACTTTAGCCATTTGGAGTGATGAATAAAGTGTATTAGCCTTTCCAAATTATTTTCATATAAATGAAAAGCTATATACAATTAAACAAATCATTATAAATCATTAATTAAAACAAGATTACCCACTGTAGAATGTGTATGTTAACTCTTCCCCCAAATGAGTTAGCTGTTCAGTTTACTGACGGTAGGACTATTCAAAGCAGACAGTGGAAATATGTCATCAGATGGTCACACTGAAGGTTCTTCTCTATGACCCTTCTCAGCACAGTCATGTCCTTACTTGGAGCCTGCAGCTCAACACGACTTGAGGTTTATTGGTGGAAAATATATCACTAACCAATTCAGCTTGCTTTAGTTATGAATTTGCACCTAACAAATAAAGGCATCAAAAAGAGAGGGTATAGCTGCTCCATTGTGTTGTATTTTGTTTTTAGCAAAGTTCCAATGGTCCTGTAAAGAAGTCCATGCGTGAGAAGGCTGTTGAAAGAAGGAATGTCAATAAAGAGCACAACAGTAACTTTAAAGCTGGGTATATTCCAATTGATGAAGTTCGCCTGCATAAAACGGGACTGAGAGGGAGAAAGGGCAATTTAGCCATCTGTGTGATTATCCTCCTGTTTATTCTGGCTGTCATCAATTTAATTGTGAGTATTTAGTACAGCATATTCTTAATTACCAAGGGGAATTTTTCTTCTTTCAGTCAAATCATGGACTCTCTTCCTATCATTTCTTTCAGGACCCTCTTTCTGCTTTTCTATACAGGCATACCGTGTTTTATCACACTTAGATTTATTGCACTTTGCAGATACTGCGTTTTTCACAAATTGAAGGTTTGTGGCAACCCTGCATCAAGCACATCTGTCGGTGCCATTTTCCCAGCCGCATTTGCTCACTTCAGTCTCCATGTCACAGTTTGGTAATTCTCACAATATTTAAAGCTTTTTCAATATTAGTATATTTGTCATGGTGATCTGTGATCCGTGATCTTTAATGTTACTATTGTAATTTTTTTGGGTTGCCACTAACCACATCCAGGTAAGATGGTGAATTTAATTGATAAATGTGGTGTACGTTCTGACTGCTCCATTGACTGGCCGTTCCCCATTTCTCTCCCTCTTCTTGGACCTCCTTATTCCCTAAGATAACCCTACAATGGCCTCTAAGTGTTCAAGTGAAAGGAGAAGTTGCAGGTGTCCCTCACTTTAAACAAAAGTTAGAAATGTTTAAGCTTAGTGAGGAAGGCATGTGAAAAGCTGAGATCAGCTGAAAGCTAGGCCTCTTACGCCAAATACTTAGCCAACTGGTGAATGCAAAGGAAAGAGTCTCGAAGGAAATAAAAGTCCTACTCTAGGGAACATATGAATGATAAGAAAGCAAAACAGTCTTATTGCTGATATGGAGAAAGGTTTACTGGTCTGGGTAGAAGATCAAACCAACTACAACATTCCCTTAAGTCAAAGACAAATCCAGAGCAACGCCCTAACTCTCTTCAATTCTGTGAAGGCTGAGAGAGGTGAGGAAGCTGCAGAAGAAAAGTCTGAAGCTAGTAGAGGCTGGTTCATGAGGTTTAAGGAAAGAAGCCGTCTCCATAACATCAAAGTACAAGGCGAAGCAGGAAGTGCTGATGGAGAAGCTGCAGCAGCTTATCCAGAAGACCTTGCTAAGAAAAGTAATGAAGGTGGCTACACTAAACAACAAATTTTCCATGCAAACAAAACAGCCTTCTATTAGAAGAAGATGCCATCTTGGACTTTCATAGCTAGAGAGGAGAAGTCAGTGCCTGGCTTCAAAGCTTCAAAGGACAGGGTGACTCTCTGTTAGGGGCTAAGGCAGCCAGTGACTTTAAGTTGAATCCAGTGCTCATTTGCCATTTGGGAAATCCTAGGGCCCTTAACAATTATGCTAAATCTACGTCTGCCTGGGCTCTATAAACGGAACAACAAAATCTGGATAACTGCACACCTGTTTACAACATAGTTTACTGAATATTTTAAGCCCACTGTTAAGATCTACTACTCAGAAAAAGAAGATTTCTTTCAAAATATTACACCTCATGGACAATGCATTGGTCACCCAAGAGCTCTGATGGAGATGTACAATGAGATTAGTGTTGTTTTCATGCTTGCTAACACACCATCCATTCTGCATCCCACGGATCAAGCAATAATTTTGACTTTCAGGTCTTATTATTTAAGAAATACATTTTTTAAGGCTATAGCTGCCATAGATTATGATTCCTCTGATGGACCTAGGTGAAGTAAGTTGAAAAGCCTCTGGAAAGGATTCATCATTCTAGATGCCATTAAGAACATTAGCAGTTCTTGGGAAGAGGTCAAAATATCAAAGTTAACAGGAGTTTGGAAGAAGTTGATTCCAGCCCTATGGATGACTTTGAGGGGTTTAAGCCATCAGTGGAGCAAGTAACTGCAGATGTGATAGAAATAGCAAGGTAATTAGAATTAGAAGTGGAGCCTGAAGATGTGACTGAATTGCTACAATCTCATGACAAAACTTTAAAGGATAAGGAGTTGCTTCTTATGGATGAGCAAAGAAAGTGTTTTCTTGAGATGGAATCTACTCCTGGTGGAGATGCTGTGAAGGTTATTGAAATGACAATAAAAAATTTAGACTATTACATAAACTTAGTTGATAAGGCAGTGGCAGGGGCTGCCTGAGCTGCTTCCAAGCCTTAAGAATGTTTGCATCTCCATGAAGCCCTGCTGTACCTAAGTTTACCAGGAGATTTGGGTCGGAGTGGGGTTGACGGGCTTCATCGTTTATAAAATCAGGAGTGCTGATAAAAGAAGTAAAGCCTTGAAAGCTTCCAGTCCTATGCCTGCTCATGGTCATCATTAACCAGCTTTACTTGGATGGGACATCGTTCTGGCTGTATTGTGGGAATGTGGGACATCATGCACACTTGTAGCAGTGCCGCTGTCCTCGAGCACGAATAGACATACCTGTGAGGTACCCCCTACAAAAAGAAAGAAATTAAATAAAGCAGTGGCAGGATTTGAGAGGATTGATTCCAATTTTGAGAGAAGTTCTACTGTGGCTGAAACGCTATCAAACGGCATCACACGCTACAGAGAAACCATTCATGGAAGGAAGAGTCAGTGCAGCAGACTTCATTGTGGTCTCACTTTAAGAAATGGCCCCAGCCACCCCAGCCTTCAGTGACCACCACCCTGGTCAGTCAGAAGCCGTCAGCCTCAAGGGAAGACCCTCCACCAGCAAAGAGATTACAACTTACTAAACGCTCAGGTGATGGTTAGCATTTTTTAGCAAAAAAGTATTTTCTAATTAAGGTATGTACATTGGTTTTTGGGGGTTTTGGTTTTTTGGTTTTTTCAGCCGCATCACATGGCTAATACAGGACCTTAGTTCCCGAACCAGGGATCGAACCCCAGGACCCCGGCAGTGAGAGCACCGAGTCCTAACCACTGGACTGCCAGGGAATTCCCTATACGTAGTTTTTTTAGACATAATCCTGTTGCACACATAATAGACTACAGTATAGTGTAGCCATAAGTTTTATATGCACCATTTAAAACCAAAAAAGTTTGTGTGGACTTGGTTTATTGCAATATTCGCTTTATTACTGTTATCTGGAACCAAACCCACAATTTCTCTGAAGTATGCCTGTATATGTTTTATCTCTTATTGAATTTTAATGAATATTTTCTATATGAAAACCTAGTATGTTAATATTGCCATGCACTAATTTTATTTAGAAAAAAATGTTCATAGACTCTTTCCTTTAAAATACTTAAATTTTAGGGCTTCCCCCAATGCAGGAGATACGGGTTCGAGCCCTGGTCCGGGAAGATCCCACATGCCGCGGAGCAACTAAGCCTGTGCGCCACAACTACTGAGCCTGTGCTCTAGAGCCCGTGCTCCACAACAAGAGAAGCCACCGCAATGAGAAACCCACGCACCGCAACGAAGAGTAGACCCCGCTCGCCAGCAACAAAGTCCCAATGCAACCAAAAATAATTAATTAATTTTTAAAAATAAAATAAAAATAAAAGACTTAACTTTTAAAAGGTTGGAGTCAATTCAACAGAAGAGACCTTTGCCAAGATGATTTTACTGCCTTCATCTCTCCTAAAAATATACTCCTTCCTGTTTTCATTCAACTTTTCCAAAATTTGCTCTTGCCTCCTCAGCTAGATTTTAGAATTGTAAACCTTGGATGGCAGTAAAGCGTTATATTTTGTAGTCCTAAATCTCTGTTATAAAAGAATGAAAGGATCTGAGGTAAACTGGTTTACACTAAGGTGTGAGGAACTGGTGTGTTGCCTTTTCCAAAGATATTTGCTTTCTTAAAGAAAGGGGTTAAATTTGAACCCTTCTGGCATGTGTGTGGATAGATATTTTCAGAGAGTGATTATTGGTATCCCTGAGACCAATCGTGAACATGGATGCAGCAGTTCTAACGTAATTTCAGTTACTACTGTATTTTTTTACTTCTAATACTCTCAAACCAGTCCATTGTATTTTATGTACATCCAAAACATTTGTGTCTAATTCTTCACTTAAATCGAAAAGAGCTGATACTGTAAATAGCTTTACTAGGAGCACATGTTCTGAATTTATTTTATTTTAGAAATTTATTTTTTTGGAAAGTTATGGTTAAGATTGCAAAAAAAAAAGACATTTTCATCCCCTTCTGCTTTAAAAGCTCATCCTAAGGTGACAATGTCAAGAACCAGAAATACCTTGGAAGAAAGTGGGAGGCAACCGAAATCCTGAACCGTAATATATGAAGACAAAAAGGAGGAGGAGTGGCAAGTAACTTACCAGAGAAGAGAAACTGCGTGTTGGGGGAGAGGGTTGCAGGGGGCATTGGTGGAAGCGTCTTGCAGAATCCTGAAAAGCCTCAGGAACTGGAAGTACAAGTGCCTTGAAAAGCAGGAGTGAAGGGGGAACTGAAAACAGAGAGCTTGTTTGAAAAGTCCATACAAGAAGGCATGCAATCCCCAGCCTCCCTCTCCTTCCAGGCAGCAGTTAGGCAGCCAGCCCTCCTAACCCCACACTGAACGAGAGGGGATTCTTTCTGCCTGAGGATATTGCCAAGAGGAGGGTAGGGATGGGTTTCTACACTGAAGGCAGGAAAGTCTGTATCCTGAGCACTGAGGCTCCCGTATCCTCATCCTCCAGCTCCAGCTCCCTGTACCAGGCTTACATCCCCCAGCAAGAGATAAAATAGCCTGCTCTGGAGAAACTGAAGAACATAGAGAAAAGACCTGAAGATACACTTGGCAGGTCCCTGTGAAAAAGCCACCTAATCTCCCTACTGTGAAGCCTGTCAGTCACAAGTGCCACCCCACCCAGAGAACTTTCCCTGAACTTTTTAAACCACTCTGTTAACTATGAACACAGAGCCACCAGGGATCAGCAGATTTTTATGGAAAGCTCCCAGAATCGAGAAGTGATTGAGACCAAAAGCACCCAAGCCATGGGGAAAGTGGGAATTCAGGGAAATGGAGAAAATGCAACAAATGACAGGAAACTTAAAAAAATTAAAGCACACAATCAATAGCTTCAGAGAAGTCAGAGGATATTGCATCCATTAAACAAGGATACCATGCCATTAAAAAGAAGCAGTTAAAGAATATGGAAAAACTCATAGAAATACACATACATGGATGGATGGATGGGTAGATAGATAGATAGACATTGGAAGATAAAAGAAAATCTTCCACAAAGTTCAACTAAATTAAAGAATGAATCCAGGAACATTCTGTTAATTGGAGTTTTAGAAAGAGAGAAGAAAAAACACAATGGGAAGAAAGTTATCAAATAAATAAATCAAGAAAGATTCCTAGGACAAGTTGAAAACTACCATTCTGGATCCAGCATATGTACAAAAAAAAAGACTCACACCAAGGCTATTACTGTGAAATTTAAGGAATAAAGAGATGATCCTAAAATCTTCCAGAGAATTAAAAAAATGGGTTTTGTATAAAGAACACAAAATCAGAGTGGCATCGGACCTGTCAAAGGCAGTGCTGGAAACTAGAAGGCAAGAAAGCAAGGACCTTCAAGATTCAGAGAGAACATAATTTCAAATCTAGAAATGCATACCAAGCTAAACTCTCAGTCAAATGTGAGGAATTATAGAGACATTGTTTTAGCCACGCACACTCTCAAAAAATATTTACTTCACGTACATTCTTTCTAAGGAAGCCACGGGACGATGTGCTCTACCAAAAGGAGGTACTAAACCGAGAATGTTGAAGACAAAGATACCGGAAACTGGGTATCCTGCATGGGAGAAAGACGAAAGGAAGCTCCAGCATGAAAGTGAAGGGAAAGCTCATGGTTATAGCCGTGCGACAGACCCAGAGGGCAGGAGCTCAGACTGGAGCAAGAAGATGAGGGTTCGTTCCAGAAAGATTTCCTGGGAGAGGCAAATAGAGCTAATACATTTTCTGGGAGGTTTGGACTTTTAGAACATTTTATTGGGAGACATTTTACAGAAATGTTGAAGAGTTTGAAAAAACTTAGTCTGATTTTCAAAGAAACTAAGCAAATGAAAGAAGGACAAATATTAAACCCTGAAAGACACAAAGTACAAGAAGGGAACTGCCATCATAGTACAGTATTTGGCTTAGCAGTGGACAGTATTTACATTGTTGTAATACTGAATATACTGAACATGGATTTAACCAAAACTTGAGATTGGAGTTGGAGGAGGAGAAATATAAATGAGCTAAAATTCTCATCTGCTAAAATAGGAAATTGATAGATACAACCTAAAATTGAACAGTGAAGAAATAACATATACTTATTATTTAGAAATATGGAGATAAATTCTAGACGAAATGGCTAAGATTGTTGAAAGTGGTTATTCTGGGATGAGGTATAGGGGAGGTAGAAGAAATAAACTGCTCTTTTTTTTTTAATTACAGAAGCTTTAGCACTTTTTTTTTTTTTTTTTTTTTTTTGCGGTACGCGGGCCTCTCACTGCTGTGGCCTCTTCCGTTGTGGAGCACAGGCTCCGGACGCGTAGGCTCAGCGGCCACGGCTCACGGGCCCAACCGCTCCGCGGCATGTGGGATCTTCCCAGACCGGGGCACGAACCCGCGTCCCCTGCATCGGCAGGCGGACTCTCAACCACTGCGCCACCAGGGAAGCCCACCTTTAGCACTTTTTGTCTTTTAGTTATTGGTATGTAATACCTTGATAAAAATAAATTTGGTTTTGTTTATAAGTGGAAACCCAATTTATGTGTTCATCTCATTGATGAAACATTTTAGAAAGTTTAATCCTTTAGCAACTATCTTTCCTATTTGTTTACTGATTATGTTCAATGTATGCTACCTATTAACAGTGGGCTTGATTTCTTTTTTAGGTAACACTTGTTATCTGGGCTGTGATTCGCATTGGACCAAATGGCTGTGACAGCATGGAGTTTCATGAAAGTGGTCTGCTTCGATTTAAGCAAGTGTCTGACATGGGAGTTATACACCCTCTTTATAAGAGCACAGTAGGAGGAAGGCGAAATGAGAATTTAGTCATCACTGGCAACAACCAACCTGTAAGTAACCACGTTAATTGAGGAACATTAGAGAAAAGTTCTTTGTAAAAGCCTAGAGTTGATTACTGGAAATGGATATTTTCCTTTAAAGAAAATTCGTAATATATTTAATAATATTGTTGGTCTTCTCATCCATCTATTAATGTTAGCTACTTTCTTAATATTCTAGATTTTGTCCCATGGTAGCATTTTCTGGGATAGATATAATTACTGTAAGAATACATAGTCTACTCTTTTCTTCTCCATGTGAGGAAACCGTTTAAAAAAGCACCTTCCCAAGTTAGAATACCCTCTACTCTCTGGGAGTCTGGAAGAGAATATGCCAGTCTAGTCAGTGGCAACCCCTGTCAAGTGGCTACTATAACGTAGGTTTTCAACTGACCAGAACCTCAGGGAGGCATCCTTACTGCCCCTGCCCGTCTTAGCTCTGGGTCCCTGTGCTCTGCGGCCATCTGTGTCTGCCAAGCATGACAGCAAATAAGCATGTTAAGCCCTCGTTTTAAAGGACTCTTCTCCCAAGTGGGTGGAGGGAGTCAGAGAGAGGCAGTTAAAATGATCAGGAGTTAAGCCTGCTATCGTAGAGTTTTTTTTAGAATGTTCTTGATGAATCTTGGATGCAGTCTTGTTCGAAAACATATTCATGATAAAGTGTTTTTCTGAAGATTGTTTTTCAGCAAGGGACGACAAAGCTCAGTGTAGAAAAGAACAAAACTTCTATTATAAGTGACATTGGTGTGCAGTTCTTCGACCCAAGGACTCAAAATATCTTATTCAGCACAGACTATGAAACTCATGAGTTTCGTTTGCCAAGTGGAGTGAAAAGTTTGAATGTTCAAAAAGCATCTACTGAAAGGGTATGATTTATTTTCCTTGCCTTATTAATGGAAGAGAATTATTATCTACAGTTACAAAGTGTGTGAGGTGGGGGGCAGGGGCAGCTTTACTGATGAAATGCTATGAACGAAGTGACTCCAGACAGGGGAAAGGATTAGTTCTAGATTTGTCATCAGCTAGTTTATGTGACCATTATCAAATCATCTCTCTTTATCTCTACATGTGTGAAATGTGAATTAAAACACTTGCCTTTCATATTTTGTCATTGAAACGCCTCCTCCTCTATCTCTAATAATAATCCTCACTTTAATTTAGAAACTCTTCATCACTACTTTTTTTTTTTAATCTTCAGATTACCAGCAATGCTACTAGTGATTTAAATATAAAAGTTGATGGGCGTGCTATTGTGCGTGGAAATGAAGGAGTATTCATTATGGGCAAAACCATTGAATTTCACATGGGTGGTAATATGGAGTTAAAGGCTGTGAGTATTTTTTGATTTTAAGAGAATTATTAGATTCTTGGGTACATAAGTCCTTATGTGGAAAAAGTTATGAAAAATGATAATGTAGTTTGTATTTTTCGGACATGGAAAGATGTTCAAAATGGATTATGAAGTGAAAAAAAGTTATAGAACAATCTGTGAAATATCTCATTTTTATTTTTCAGATTATGTGTATGTTTATAGAAACCTAGAAGGGTATGCCAAAATGTCAACAATGGTTAGTTATGGGTAGCAGGGTAACAGATGATTTTCATTTTATTTCTGCTTGCCTGTTATTTTCTAAATTTTTTTTTTTTTTTTGCATAATGATGCCTGTGTTATTTTAAAAGGCAAACAAACAAACAAGCAAAAAGCTTCCAAAAGAGAATTCTCAGTATGCATGCCCTGAAGTTGATAGGGTTTTTTTCAGTTAAAGATTTTTCACATCTCTTCATGGGTTTTGTGTCTAGTGATGTGAAAATCAATTAGCAGATATATTAAATGTATTTTTATTTATACATCTATTATTAATTGTAAAGGAAAAAGATTTTACCTTTATTATACCTGTTGAAAAGTAAACTTTTCTTTGTGCCTCACAGATTATATCTGAACTTTAATAAGTAACATATTTCATTTAAGGGAGCCATAAGTTCGAAAACATTTTACCTGTTCACAATTCTGGTCAAAGTATATTTATTCAAAATGTCTTTGGGCATCTGCTCTATGCTACCTAATTAAAGCTAATTAAATTTGTTCTACTAAGCATTAAATGACAAAAGTTAAACCTAAGGACTTATAAAATAGTTCTTTCCTTTTAAAAAATTTAATCATAGTTCTTGAAGGAAAAAACTTTAAAAGATTAAGTTCTTTCACTTTCATAAATATCTTTTCCCCCTGAAGAATATGTTCCAATCTCTAAATAATAAACATGAACATAAAATGTGATTCTTGCCAGAAACTCAATAGTAGTACTGAGTATTGTTTGCATACATTGTAGAAAGAAGCCATTCCTCTGAGAGAATGGTCACAGTGGGGCTGTTGTTCTCTGCATCAGAAACTCAAAGCAGCAAGAGATGTGATTGATTTGTTTATAACCATTAGCAAGTCACCTAAATCTTTTAAGTTTTTCTACCTGAAAATTCTACCTGCTGTTAATATGACATACTTTGAAATACATATACACCTGTATCAGTTTCTCCACAGTTAAAAAAAAAATAAGACAGTATTGAAAAGATAATTAGCTTTATAATTCAGCTAATATCAGAGGTTAGTTTTTAAGTGTATGGCTAGTCACTAGAAAGAATTTTATCAATCAAACTGCTTTTTTAAAAATACTGCTAAGACAAATATTATATCACTTATATGTGGACTCTAAGAAACAGTACAAATGACTCTATATGCAAAATAAAAACAGACTCACAGACATTAAAAACAAATTTATGGTTACCAAAGGGGAAAGGAAGGCAGGGAGGGATAAATTAGGAGAATGGGATTAACAGATACAAACTACTATATATAAAACAGATAAGCAACAAGAATTTAATAACCTATAATGGAAAATAACCTGAAAAAAAAAATATATGACTGAATCACCTTGATGTACACCTGAAACTAACACAATATTGTAAATTAACTATACTTCAATTAAAAAAAAAAACTACTTTAGCAGTTTAAACAAAGTAAAATTACATAACCACAAGATGGCAGCGTTGGAACAAAATTTGAAAATTCCATATACTATCACTACATAGTCAATTAGCCATTTCCATTACTTCATAATCAACTTTCGTTGCTTTAAATACCCTCTATAAGCTGATGACTCTCAACTTTGGGACTCCTTTCTCCTCTGAACTAAGTAAGATTCACATATCCAGCTGCCTTCTTACCTCTCCACTTCAATATCTAGTAGGCATCTCAAACTCAACAAGTCTAAAGTCTTCATATCCTCCTTCCCTCCCCAAACATACATTTCTTTCAGTGTTCCCATCTTGTTAAATGGTACCCATTATTTCATCAGTAAAGCCTTTGGGCCCTACCTTCAGAAGATGTACAGAGTCTGGCTGATTCTCACCACCACCACCATGGTGTAAACCAGCATCGTTTCCTGCCTGCACTGCTAGAATAGCCTCCAAAGTGGTCTCCCTGCTTCGTCTTTCACCCCTGTATTCAGTTCTCTGTACAGCAGCCAGAGCGATCCTCTTTAAAAGATCGTCACTTCTCTGTTCAGAACCTTCCAAATGGCTTCCCATCTGATTCAGAATAAAAGCCAAAGTCCATTCCCTGGCCTTATGTGTCTGGCCCCTAGTTATTTCTTTGACTCATCTCCTACCTACCAGTCGACTCCCTCTCTCTGTCCTTCAACCACTCTGGCCTCCTCTCTGTTCCTAGAACACAAGGCACATCCTCACCTTGGGGCCTTTGCATATGTGCTTTCCTCTGCCCAGTTACCCGCATGCCCTACTCCCTCATGTCATCCAGTTTCCATCAGACTGTGACCTTATCAGAGAGGCCTTCCCTGACCATCCTCTGGTCACTCTCTCTCCACTCACCCTGACTTGCTTTTCTCAGACGATGTCCTGTTGGTTTTACCTCTTCAGTTGTTTGTTGTCTGCCCCTCCCCAGTAAATGGGGACTTGGACTTTGCCTGTCTGTTGACTACTGCATCCCCAGCACCTAGAATAGTATCTGACACATAGGAGACCTTTAATAATTATTTGTTGAATGAATGAAAAGAAGAAAAGGGAAGAAGGGAGAGAGAGGGTTAGGAGTTCCGAAAAAGAGAGGGTCTGCAATACAAGAATGTTCCTGGGATAGTGGGCTTGAAGAAGAGAACTTCCAGGCAGTTTTCTTTGAGTGCCTGGGCTTCAAAATTGTATGGTTTGAATCTCCATTTATGGTGTCACAAAAAAACATTGGAAATTAAAATTACTTTTCTCTAGGAGAAAAACAGTCTTTTTCTTCTTAGCGCCAGAAATGTATCAATCAGCAACTTGGTTAAAACTCTCTTAGGAAATAATAAATGAAAATGATCTGAGACTTTATCAGTATTCGTCTTATTGTGCACTTAGGAATTTTGATACAATTTTTAACTAATTGAGAAATAAATTGTGTTAACAAGTGTACTGATACACATTGTGAACAATTACTGAGAGGTCACTAGGTGAATTTTGATTGGTTTTGGTTTTTTGTTGTTGTTGTTTCGGTCATGACTTTTTCTTGCTGCTTTCTCTTCTTGCTAATATTTCAGTGAGTTTTGTTTATTAATTTTGTTCTCTCCCTACTTGTGGATGCAAACAAGCCATATATGAGTTTTCTCCTGATAGGAAAACAGCATCATCCTGAATGGAACTGTGGTGGTCAGCACAACTCGCCTCCCTAGTTCCTCCAGCGGAGACCAGTTCGGTGGTGGTGACTGGGTGCGCTACAAGCTCTGTATGTGCGCTGACGGAACCCTCTTCAAAGTACAGGTGACGGGCCAGAACATGGGCTGCCAGACCTCAGACAACCCCTGTGGAGACACTCATTAGAAGAACCCGAGAGGGCGTCAGTAGGTTCATATCGTGACTTGACTTTTTTTTTTCAGAGTAGGCATGCAAATCATGTTTTTACAGAGTTTGTGATAACTCGTAATTATTTTATCTGCAGAGCACTACTGTATCTATTATATAGTCTCCATGTTTAAAATAGTCTCCGAGAGCCTAAATTCTAATACATTTCATTAAGTTGCACTGATCTTCAATTTACAGTTCTCTAAAACAATTAAGAGAAGTGAATACAATCAATATTAATCTTTAAAGAAGTGTTTTTAAAATGCCACTATTCCTTGTCTAAAGGCTAAAGGTCTGAAGCAACTGTTTAGACTCACTATAAGTAAGCTTTTGGTAACTAAGGGGGATAGACCCACTTAAGATGTTTAAAGGTACACCATCAGTAAATGTTACATGCTCTGTCTTTGGGCTTCTAAGAGGAAAGACAGATTTTTAGTGCATTGACTTTCAGCCATATTCTCACATGCAAGTGAGGTCATTAAAGAACTTCGCATATGGGAGTTATTAAGAAACTATGGTTCCTTAGTTTTGCACTAGGAAGAAAATACTAATAGAATGTATACTCATTAAATATTGGTAAATATTGTGCTCGCAATGTGGTAGAAATTAAAGCACCATCTCAGCTTTAACTGTTAAATGATGATAGCTGTCATGTATTGAGCATCTTACTAGGCATTGTCCTAGGCATTGCACATGGAATGTCTCTAATTCACACCACAACTCTATAAGCAGGTGTTGTTATCCCAGTTTACCCATTAGGAAACTGAGGTTCAGAGAAGTTAAGAAACTTGCCTAATGTTACAGAGGAAATAGCAGAGTTGGGATTGGAATTCGGGTGTGACTCAAACCTAGATGGACCTGTTTCTAAATACCGCATTCTTTTCACTATCTGCGGTGGAGTTTTAATTATTTAAAACTCCGCAAAGGTGAACAAAGAGTAATTCAGACTTACCTAGGCAGATAAGAATCAAACAAAACAGATATGCTTACTCTAATTAAAAGAAAATAAATCAATCTCAGTCAAAAAACTGACCAATCACTGTCAGATTTTAAATTTTCTTAAGCCAATTCCAAAATATACTATAGAGAGATCAAATTGGCCTAGTTGTGGGTTACCCCCATTTCCCAACTGGGTACCTGAATGCGTAAAAGGGTTGCCAAGATATGTATACCCTCAGCCCTCGGGGCAGCACAGTGGGAAATGGGGAGGCCATGCCCCAGACGAGTCCTGCTGGCCCAGAATGGCTGGTGGATTTACCCCAGCAAGCCAGACAAATATTACCCTTTTTAATATGTGCCATACCTTGAAAAAAGTCAGGAAGCACTGGACTAAAGGGTACTAATGCAGGAAATAATATAAGTAATTTTTACGTAAGTATGAGATTGATCTCTGCTCCTAACATCACCACCCGTTATAATGTTTTACAACCCTCAAGCCAGTTGATTTTTAAGGTGTTTTATATTTGACTTGAAAGGAACTCTCTGGTATTATTAAGATACACACAACATCAGGAAGAGAGACCTCAAAGTAGTGTGCTGTAAAATAGGCAGAAGAGATAAATCACAGGCCCCGTTCTGCATTCAAGTATAATATTCTGTCCTTGCCAGTTTGAACTATATAGATAGGAAAATCAATACAAAAAAAAATTTTGCATTCAATATTGTCACAGTTCTCTTTGATAGAAAAACCAAATACTTTAGAGATTATGAGTAGTCATTAAAGTATACTAAAGTAGAGATTGACTTACTACCTACTACTGAATGAAGTTTTTTTTTAAGTGAAGAAAAAGAGAGAGTGAAATTTATGACCTCTGGGTGTTATTTGTTGTAGTGATATTCAGAGCCCATATGAATATATTCAGTATCATTTAATATCTGAATAGTGTTCAGAAAAAATCCATTGGAATATTCGTTCAGATGCTCAGTGTATTTGTAAATTTTACATTCATTACTTGTCTGCTCTATTTAGATCTGTTTTGAAAGTTTGCTTAGATAAATATTTTTACAAAAACCACAAAACACTATGTTACAAAGTATTATTTATTGAATGTAATTCATGAAATAACCTATTTTTACTCCTCTTTGAGAAATACTTGTTTTTGATACATCTCCATTAAGTGCTTTGAACATGAGAGAATATTTTGATGTTTTTACAGAACTGATTGTTAAGGTAACAGGTATAGTAATTTAGGACACTTCACAGGTAGCTTTTGCTTTTTCATTGAAATGTAGACCGGGGAAATTCCCTGGGAAGCAGAGCAAGAACAAACTGTCCATTTTACCTGTGACCTGTTTAGCATAACAGTAAAGCCTCAGCTACTCATTCTCACCATCAGATGCTATTTTTTCTATAAACTGAATTGTTAACTTCGCCTCTTCTGCTGTCATTCCTCCCCTCCATCAAGCGCTGATATGACAAGCAACAGACTTGGGGGAGGTAGAGGACAAAGACAGGATCCCCGGAGATGGGGCAGACACATGCTTGTTTAAATAACTACAGTCCTTCAGAGGTGGATTATAATGACATGGGGGACAAATGAAATGAAAGCAAGGTATTTTAGGGGCTCTCTAATGGGCAGGTAGGAAGAATGCAAAACTATACACAGTAGGGACTGTATGTGTGCTCTGTAATATTTTAAAATATACTTATTTGTATTCTTTTTGCATTGAAAAAACAAATTGTGATAGTTTTGAATGAAAAGTGGAAGTTCTACCTAGGTTTTGAGTGAGTTTTTTTAAAGATCATGAGAATGTTACGGTGCTAAACTTGACAAAAAAAAAAAAAAAAAACATTGAAATGCTGATAATTTTAGTAATCTTTTTTAAAGCACTGAGGGGGCAAAGATTACAAATTATGCCATACAAAAATAAACCTATAAATGTGTCGAGTTACCAATTTGACTTTCAGTTGATTCAGTTTGTAATAACTATTAATGACCTCTGTTTACAATAAAGATTCTGTAAAATTGTTTGCTGTTAATTTTTTAATTGTTAAAATATTAGCAGGTTTCCACTTACTCATATAAACGTGCTGAATGTAAATACAGCTTGAGAATTGGACGCCGCCAGTATTTATGTAGTCTCTCTGCAATCCTGGAGCTCAAAGTTAGAAGCTGTACAGACCCAGTCTGGAAAGTCCTACCCTCTGCATTGCAGAAGGCCTCCTTCTGTTGCCTTTTCCCCCAGTATCCCAGGGGAATGTGCACCACGCTGTCTGTTGCTGTCACCTCTGCAAGAGGCCAGAGCTTGGAGATGAAAGGGTTGAAGGTTTGCCACAGGGTAGGCTCCAGGGCAGCTGGGTGGAGCCTCAAAGGCTCAAGTCTAAAATCCCCACCTGGCTTGATTGAGAGAGAGACGCATTTGAAAAATCCCTAAGGATCAAAGGTATGCCTTAGAAACAGTGTTACTGTTGTGTTCTTTCTACATCTTAGCAAAACTAGCCTCTCCTGCTTTTTTTCTTCTAACTGTTGTAGCTTCTCTTTCTTTTATATAGGAATGAACTCTTCATTTCCTTCCTACTTTGTTTTTTCTACTGCCTTCTCCCTGTCTCACTGTCTGACACACCCAGTATTTCTGCTTCCTCATACTTCAGCTTGAATATGTCCATTTAAAGATTTACAAATTGTCTCCAACATCCTCAGAAAATTTTTCTGAAGTTCTCAGGTGTTCCTTACCTAATACATATAAGTTTGTTTTATATATATATAATATTTTTTTTAAATTTACAAATGAATACCTTTCACTTTATGCCATAAGATTATCCTTATCTAGCTGTTTTGAACTCAAAACTATTAGTTATAGATAAATCTCTTCAACTTAGAAAGAATCAGGTCAGTGAAAATCTTACTTAAGTCCCCTTAAGAAGTTTTTTCCAACCACATGTTTCTCTTCAGTATTGTAGTGTGCCTGTGAATGATGAATCTTTTTTTGTTGTTGCTGAGGTTGTTACATTAGCTTGCTATATAATTACAGATGTAATGATTGCAGCCTTGAATATGGTAACAAATATCTTTCTGACTCTACAAATTAATTGAATTTCTGGTATTGCATAAGAGGCACACTTTAAAAATAAATCACTCCTCCATGCTGTAGGGCACCTTTGCAGTTCACAGCCCCGGGTACCGGAACTTAGATGCCTTTCAAAGTATGGCAGATTTGACCTTGTATGGAACCAAAGTTTAAAAAGTTACGTGGTAAATTGAATTTCTGGTATTGCATAAGAGGCACACTTTAAAAATAAATCACTCCTCCATGCTGTAGGGCACCTTTGCAGTTCATAGCCCCGGGTACCGGAACTCAGATGCCTTTCAAAGTATGGCAGATTTGACCTTGTATGGAACCAAAGTTTAAAAAGTTACGTGGTAAATTTCATCCGTTGCATGCATTCATTTATCCAAGCAGAGCATAACCCTATGACTGCAGACTATTAAAAATATAAAACATGGGGGAAAATATATAGATATATAGATGAGATAAATAGATGATAGATAGGTAGATAATACAGATATAGCCCTATATATAGATATATAGATAGCATAGTCCTATGACAGACTAAAGACTATTAAAAATATAAAACATAGGGGGAAGTTATATATATATGTATGTATATATGAAAACATGGCCCTTACCATCTGGGAGCTTATAGTCTTTTAGGCTGTTTAAAACAGACCCAATGCAAAGCAATAGCAATACAGGACAGTACTGATATTCTGTCAAACTGAATGTTACTAACATGCATTCATTCATTCAATAAATATTTACTGAAAGATTTCTGAACAAAATAGAGGCCAAAGCAGGGAGAAGGGTCTTCAGGTCATAGGGTTTGTGATGGATCTGGAAGGACATATGTAGGATTTGGACTGAGGAGGGGAAAAAGCATTGGGCTTGGAATTGGAGTGAAGTAAAAGCTAATTTTTGCATGAGATCTACATATATACCGAGGTGCACAAGCCCCATCTTGTAGTTGCTCCACATGTACTTTTAAAACTAGTTCATAAACGTAGGTAAATAATAGAAAGCCTGGGATGCCAACCTGAGGGATTTGGACTGTAGGCACTGCAGAGCCCTTTAAGGATTCTGAATGAGGATACGATATGGGAAAACAGTACTATGGGGAAGTAACCCTTTGGAATTTCACTGGATGAAGCAAGAAGGAAAATTGAAAGGCAGTGACAGGAAAACCAGTTAGCCCATTCTAGTACTGCAGATTAGTGATGAGAACTAGAGTGGTGCCATTTGCCATTGGAACAGAACGGAAGGGACAATTTGTTGTAAACCTACGTGCCAAGTAATGTGGTTATCTGTACACACACTGATTTTTTAATGGAATTTAGTAATTAAAACAAATCACAAAAAAGTTATTCATCTACTCTTTTGTTGTTTTTTATTGGAGTATAATTGCTTTACAATGGTGTGTTAGTTTCTGCTTTATAACAAAGTGAATCAGTTATACATATACATATGTTCCCATATCTCTTCCCTCTTGCGTCTCCCTCCCTCCCACCCTCCCTATCCCACCCCTCCTCATCTACTCTTAAAATTGTTTTTTGTGCATACATTCAGGAATTGTGATTTGTAGATACTTGTTTTAAAGCTTTCAGTTGCTTCTCAAGAATCTTTGGTGAAAAAGATACTTGAGTTTCTGTATCTAATTATATCTTCATGGGTCCTAGGGAGAGCATCCTTTTTATAACCCTTTTTTTTTTAACATAGTTATCTAAATGGTTTCAAGTGGGTTTGAAAAGCCACAAAAGCCACAAAGACAAAGCTTGTAGTTCTTCTAGTCATTAAAAAAAATCGAGTCTCTTTCATGAGTTGAACTTTCCACCCATACAGTTCCACGGTTTGGTGTAACTGTATGGCTTGTCACTCATGTGATAAAGCACGTGGCTGATTACCGTGCTGTAAAATAAGGATAATAGACTTTGCTCGGTACTGAAGACCAGGAAGGAAGCAGAGAAGTTTTTAATCTTGGTAGGTTTCCCTCATTCCAAAGCAGACTGCAGGGTGAGTAATCCTGGCAAAGCAGACACAGGTGAGGCCCAAGTGAGTACACATTTTCTGACAAATCAGGAGGGGTTCTTTCTTTAAAACTGTGGCATAAATGTAATTTTACACTATAGCTGTTTACCATTTTGGTAGCTACATTTTGCCCCACTGTCTAAGAAATCAAACATCCATGTAAATTGGCAATCAAGGCAAGATAACTTTCCTAAATCTTAAATTGAAAATTTAAATTTCTGCTTATTTGCTATTAGTTTTTACATAAGTTATTTTGAATAAGTCAATTTTTCTTTCTCCAGGCATTATGAAAAACCTACGTTTCAGAGTCGTTACCATGGTTATAGGTCTTTATTTTACTGGCACAATGACAAACCCATCAAGAAAAAGCAGTATTTTATTCAATTCCAAGTGCCAATGGAACGGATATCTTCTGACAAATTGTTCTTTTGCTGGAAAGCATGAAATACCTGTGGACATATCGCAGATAGCAGCCATAGTGGATGTAAGTTCCAGTTTCTTTAGGGTTCTCTTACAAACTCACATGAAAAAGGAAGAATGGAATATAAGACACCTGGACCTCAGTAACAATCTCATATCGAAAATAACCTTAAGCTCTCTTGCACATTTTCATGCTTTGGAAATATTAAACCTCAGCAACAACGCCATTCATTCCGTGTCATTGGATCTACTCAGTTTTAAGTCCTTGTGGGTGAAACGCCACAGAGGCAGCTTGAGAAATGGGCTTCCATTTCTAAAGTTGCTCATTCTTCAAAGAAATAAACTCAGTGACATTCCCAAGGGTAAGTACAACTTTAAAAGATGGACTAGACCAAGAAACAATGAGTATGTGGAGAGCTAATGTTTTATGTCAATAAGAATTCCAGGTTTGTTTTCAGTTTCAAGGAAAGAGCTGAAAGTAAAGCAGTTGGATCAGAGCAAATATAATAAAAGGAGTTTCTTAGTGGAATTTTAAGTTATAATGTGTGGAATTTAAAGTCAATGTAATTTAATCTCCCATTGCTATAACTTACATTAATCTTACATGGATTTGTCAAGAGATACTAGGAAGTATTTAAGTACTAAATAATAATGTGTGATTTTAAATAACCTACTTTGATTTATGTATTTTTTTTTTTACTAATTACAGAAAAGCACTGAGAAATAAGTAGTTCAGATACTTTTAATATGTAACAATGCAAATTAAGTGTTGCCATATTTATAATTTTTATTTTTACAGAATACATTTTACATCTTCTTATCTAGTTTTCCTCCAAATGTAGACTACATATATGCTAATATTATATATAAACTTCCTTATTATCAAATCAAAGTAGGACTCCTTATCAGAACTCCACATACCCTCCTATTATAATAAATTCTCATCCATTCCAACACTCAATAATCTGTATTTTGGAGTTCCTTAACTAATCCACCAATGTCTTATTTAGAAAATGTATCAGATTCATAAGCCAGAGCTTCCTTTTTATATTCAGGAGTGCTAGACAGTTTCCTTTCCCTGTCTATTTTCAGTCTTGGTCACTCTTTGCTAAGTACTTACTTTATATAAGATCTTATGCTAAAAAAAAGAAAGTGTAAGGAGTTTGTCATTTTTCTCCATCTCAAATTATGCATATTTAGTTTTTCTCATTTTCAGTTCTTTCATTTCATGCTTTTATTTTTTTATTTATTCATTTATTTTTTGCTCTTTCTCCAGTATCTTGTTTTAAGCATAATTTTGACTATAATAGCCTGGCAGGTGAAGGGACTACTATTTCAGTCACCACAGCAGCAGAATTGTGTGAGAAGGACAGGAGTCTTCTCTCCCTGAGCTTTCCCATAAAAGCAGTGTATAGTATTTTCAGTGCAAAGTGTAAACTAATTGCGTTTTATTTTATGATTTTTATCATATTGTTCTTATTACAAAAGGAGTGCCTGTTTTTTGTAAAGTATTAGGAATTAAAGAAAAATTTAAAGGGAAACATTAAAGTCCCTCATGTAATATGTATTTTTCAAGTTTATTCTTTATGCCTACATATATATTTTTCTTTCAAAATTGGATTTACTGTCCATAATATTTCATGACATAATTTTATATCACAGAATATTTTGAACATCTTTACATAATTAAGCAATCTCATAAATAATATTTTAAATAGTTAAATAATTTTAATATATACATATATTATAATCTGTTCAATCAAACATTTAGATTATTTCCATTTTGTTTGCTCTAACTCTGACGAACATCATTAAAGCTACACATATCCACATGATTTAACTGTGTTTTCTAACTAGTATGGTGGATGTGAATCTCAACCCACAAATTCAAGTGTACTAGAGATATAACCGTCTACTGTTTGTAACTCAGCACAATTTCTGATTCTGAGCCCCCATTTTGCTAGCATCAGTTGTGGTGGGATGTAGGGGTACTTACACTTAACATCAGTTTTTCATGGGCTTTCCTTTATCTTTTCCTAGATTTATACCACAGCTCTAGAATCTTATACCCTGACAAGGCATCAAAGTGTGTGTGTGTGTGTGTGTGTGTGTGTGTGTGTGTGTGTGTGTGTGTGTGGTGTGTCCCTTACCCCCTCTAGCCAGAGAATGTTTCTTTTCAGTCTTTCAGTTTGGAGAAAATTCTTACCTGCTTTTGTTTCTTCAAAACTCTCTATCTAGATCTAGAAATTCCTTTCCTCTAAAGATTCAGGCCTTTGGAAAACAAAAGCCAAAAAGACTTGTAGTCACTTCTGCTTGCCTCTGCTTTCTGCCTTGCGATGTGCCCCCCTTGGAACAATTAACACAGAGCTTTTACTTACTGCTTGAACAGAGAGAAAGGACACAAGGAAAATAGAGACAGGTAAAAGCTTAATATGTCAAAATATTATCCCACCATAACAGTAGATAGAGAAACGCTGACTATATCTCCTTAAGGCAGATGAATTCTCCAGAGCTAACTGGAGGTTAGGATGAATACATTTCATTTAAGGACCACATACCCCTATAAGATGCAGATGCAGTCCCATCCTCCTTCCCCAAGTTAAACTTCTGCCTCCCAGAATATCAGGAAATATGTTAAGCTTGCAAAGCAGGGGATAAAAAGATGTCAAATGAGTAAATCCTTTATCTGAAATTCTAATGGAGTTCTAGCAAATAAAACCATGGAGAGATGAATGAAACAGATTGATGATGGAGGTCCACTGTAACCCCTGAATCTAATTGGATGTAATTCAGAGCTCTTTTCTCCATAGCATTTTGGGGTTTGTTTTCCTGTAATCATTATACACTTTCAGTTCTTATTAGGGACTAGAGTCCCCTCTGGCGTCCCATCCCATTTTACGATTCTGTGACTATGGCTGGGTAACTCTGACGTTGAAATCCCATATTCGAGGGGAAAAGCTGGTAAGAGAGGTGCTCCCTGAAGTGCCATCCTATTCCTGACCTTTGTTCTTTTTTGATTCCTTTATCCTACGCCTTTTTAAAGGAAATGTCTAGATAATGTAATATTTACTCAGAACTGTGAGGATTAAAGGAAAGATGTATCTTAAGAACCGAACTTAACACAGTGTTTGGCATCATAAACAGTAGCTATTAAAATGTGAAAAATACTTCATAAACTTCTAAAGTACTTTGCAAATATTAGTTATTATTACTCTCGGCACAAATTGAGAATAACAGTCTTTTAGAAACAAATGATAAATTTGTTTTTGTCCGAATCTCAAGTTATCTTTTAAAATGTTAAATAATTATCGCAGTAGATGTGACTCCTAGCCCACTATAATTCATAAGCAGAGAATCATTTGTATCTATTTATATAGGTGTTTGCACTCATCTAAAGATAATGATTAATTAGAGATCTCTCAGAAAGCAGCAATCAAGCAATTGGCCTGTAGCAACTTTATAAATCATGTTTCACATGTCTTAATATGGTGGCAGTTTATAGAGCCAGTGAAAAGTTGCTTTGGAAAGCCCATTTTTGTAAGGGTGAAAGATCACATTGACTAACCAGCCCAGTGTCAGCTGATTTCCTTTCTTGATGCTGATCATCTGTGATGTTACCAATAAGCTTCATGTTGGGAAAACACCCAGAGGAGTTACTGGCCAATGCAATTCACAAAACAGAAGCCAGCCATGAATTTAACCTTCATGACCATATTCCCCCTTCCTCCCATATTCTTGGAGTACAGCATTAATAATGGAAAAATCAGTTTAAAAAAATTGAGAACAAGGGGATTGGTCTTCAGTTAAACTATCCCACTTTCATCAAACAGTATTTCTGGAGTGCCCACAAAGTGCCTGAAAATGTATCAGCACCAACATCTTACTGAGTTTCCAGTTAGGTTGAAAGACCAGATGTGACAGCCTCACGTTAACATACTAAATACCAGAATCCAAGAGATAAATATTTTATCAATGAGATGAAATAATACCTGATTTTTTAAACTGATGGAGGAGAAAAAAAACATAACCAGTGCGTTGCTGAAAAAAAAAGTATATTGTATTCTTTTCATTTGTAGGGAATTAAACCTTTCATCCTGATTACTGTTTGGATTATGGAAATACCAATAACCAACGTTCTCAAAACCAATTCAGGTTCTAAAGTAACAAAATGAATGTATATCATTAAGCTAAGAGGTCAAGGTCTTTGGTTCACCTATATAAATTTGACCACACTAAGGGGCTGATTTTATGACTCAAATATCTTATCCAGGATCATTCTAGACTCGATTCCAATTCCTAATACTCTTTGAACTTGAAGCCATAACCCTTGAATATCATCATTTTATGTTATCAGATTATCACATTTGGGAGACCACTTAAGAAGTTCAGAGTCCAAAGGAATGTTTCTAAGATGGTGTAATGTCTGGGCATGCCCTCTGTGGCCTTTTTTTTCATAGACACTGAGATAATTTCTTGGAAATAATGAAACTGCCTCTGGCGTTCTAAATGCAAAGGCTTATCAAATTCCTGCCTATGTGATCATCAGAAAGCAGTTCAATAAATAATCCCATCTCCACAAAAGTGCCTCCATATGCCTCTCCCAACATTTGACTCTCTCAAAACATAAAATGTACTCTCTGATGTCCAAGCCGCAGCTCTTAATGCACCTCACAACCTCTTTCACTCACCTGACTACTCCTAAACATTGATTCGCCATGCAAAATATGTAAAAGAACATATTCTCTTATTGAGGAAGACAGCCAAGTGTCATAGAAGAGTTTACCCACATTTTCCAACTCCATCTTGAGAGACCGCCAAACAAAAAGGTCATTTGCAGGACTCCACCAGTTCTCTTAATAACATTGAACCTTAATTCTCTAAAATTGGAAGTAAAAGGAAAATCTTCACGTGGGAGGAGTAACTGAACTTCACAGTCTTAATTCCCATGTGCAGAAATTTCCCTTCTTCTTGGGGATCTTAGCTTGATATTAAGAAGGGAATCAAATAAGAGGATATTCTTATAACTCTCCATGTTCAAAGTCCCCCCCATGCTTGGGCATGTTCTGGTCCCACTCTTCCTATTTACCCTTTTACTTTATCTTTTATACTTTCATACACCCTGTATTACTCTATTTGCTTGTTTATTGACCTTAAGCAAGTCACTTAACCTATAAAAGCTTCCTGGTCCTTATCTTTAACTGGAGATAGTGATATTTACAGGGTTGATGTGAGGGTTAGAGATAGCATTTGTAAAAACTATAACACACAGTGTGATGACATATATAAAACATCTCTCATTGTACCTCGTAAATAACAGGTCCTCAAAAAGTGTTAGTCCTCCTTTAGGGCCATTTGATCAGCCTGAGTATCTAAGTCTGTTTCCCATCCTAGTCTTTGCCGTAACAGTCATCACCTCCTAGATTTCTGGTACAATGAGTAACCGAAGGTGATTTTCATTCTCTTTCTACAACTGTTCAGAGTTTGTGTAAAGTTCAGAGTGCTCACCAACAGTCTTGCACTACAGTTCATACTTCTGTAGGCCTGTATAATGTTGGAGGCCCCTGATTCTCCATGTTCTGAGTGCTCGGGTCTGTCCTCTGGCTCTCTGAACCACACTGACTTGTGAGACCGTCACCACTATCAAGATAACTATCCGTCACCCCCCAGAATTTCCTCATGCCTCTCTGCAGTCTATCTTTCCCACCCATCATCTCTCCCCTGCCCAAGTAGCCACTGATCTTCTTTCTGTCACTATCGATTCATTTGCATTTTCTATAATTTTATATAAATGCAATCGTTCAGCACACTCTTTTATTTTTGATGTATCTTCTTTCATTCAGTATAATTATTTTGAGATTCATCCATGTCGTTGTATGCATTAAAAGTGCATTCCTTTTTATTTCTGAGTAGAATTTCATTGTGTGGATACTCTCATTTACCTGTCAGCAGACACTTGGGCTGTCTTTTTTGATATTACAAATAAAACTGCTAGCTAAAGGGATGGAGAAAGATACGCCATTAGAGAAACACTAAGGAAAGGTGGAGTAGCCATATTAATTTCAGACAAAGGAGACTTCAGGGATAAAGAAAGCACTACTTAATGATAAAGGGATCAGTTCCTGAAGGGGATATAATAATTCTAACGTGAATACACCTAAAAGTAGATTGTCAAAATACGTGAGGAAAAACCTGACAGAACTGTAAAGAGAAGTGAGCAAATCTGTTACCAAACTTAACTTGTGTCTGCTGGCCCGATGTGCAACAAAGCCGATCTACTGACACCGGGTTGTGGTGAAGGAAAGCACAGGCAACATTTACCTCAGGGTCCCGAGGAAGGAGAACAGGCAACTCATGCTCACACGGCCTGAACTCCTCGACGGTTTTCGGAGAAGGGTTTTTAAAGACAGGGTGAGGGAGAGGGTCGCAGGATGTGTGATCCGCTCATGCGCAATTCTCTGATTGGTTGATGGCAAAGAAACAGGGTGATGTTTCAGGAATCATCAACCTTCTGGTTCCAGCCATGGGGTCTGTGCGCTCATGGGGTCAGCATGCAGTTAACTTCCTCCACCTGGTGGGGTCTTAGTATCTGCAAAACAGCTCAAGGCTATGACTCAGGATATTATCTATACCCTTGAGGAAGAACTAAAGGTCACTGACTTTTTTTTAATAGGTAAACTATTACTTTTCGTAATTGAAGTATACTTGATTCACAGTGTTGTTCCAATCTCTTCTGTACAGCAAAGGGACTCAGTTATACACTTATATACATTCTTTTCTTATATTCTTTTCCATTATGGTTTATCACAGGATACTGAATATAGTTCCCTGTGCGATACCGTAGGACCTTGTTGTTTATCCATTCTAAAGGTAATAGTTTGCATCTACCAACCCCAAACTCCCCCAGTCTGTCTCTCTCCCTCCCCCGCTCTCCCTTGGCAACCACAAGTCTGTTTCTGTTTTGTAGATAGGTTCATTTGTGCCATATTTTAGATTCCACATATAAGTGATATCATGTATTTGTCTTTCTCTTTCTGACTTACTTCACTTAGTATGATAATCTCTAGTTGCATCATGTTGCTGCAAATGGCATTATTGCATTCTTTTTCTAATGGCTGAGTAATATTCCATTGTATATATGTACCACATCTTCTTTATCCATTCATCTGTCGATGGACACTTAGGTTGTTTCCATGTTTTGGCTCTTGTGAACAGTGCTGCTATGAACACAGGGGGGCATGTATCTTTTTGAATTATAGTTTTGTCCGCGTATATTCTCAGGAGTTGGATTGCTGGAACATATGGTCATTCTATTTTTATAAACTATTATTATTTTGTCTTGCTTGACTGTTTTCCTTTGTTTCTACATTTTTTCACTTCTGTGATTGAATTTGCTCTTTGGAACTTGGGGAAGCCCTAGGAGGCTAAAGCTTTTCTACAAATGAGAGGCCAGGGACACAGGGGTCTGTCCCTGAGAAGGCCCTGCAAGGTCCAGCTCTATTTCAAATCCACTGTTACAGTTGGAGATTTCAACACCCCCCTGTCCATTGATAGAGACCAAACTAGACATGGTCTCCCTCTCCACTGAACTCCTGGGGTACTTATTCAATTCAATTAAGTACTAGATATGATAGGGACCATGAGCTCACATCCCTGTACAGGTCAGGCAATTATCATGAAAATATTAAGAAACATCTTTCATATCAGCTTCTGTGTTGCATTTTTTTCTCAAGACCCATACATACATTTGCGTATTAAAACACGTAGGAATATTCTTCACTCCAGAAAGAAATGTATTTTCTCCAGAGCTTATATTCAAAATATTTAACAAGAGGCCTTTAGCCTGGGTTCCCAAGTTGGATGCCTTCTGGCTGTAATGATGAAGCAGAATCCTGCTGGGGGTGGGAGGTGGAAAGGAGAATACACTAAAGTGCCTAGGGCAGCGGGGCAACACACAGTGGCTCAGCAGTGGCTATTTATGAACCAATATGGAAGTATTTCTCACCAGCATATGCCAGCTGAATCTCAGCCTTGGCTCTCTCTCTTTTTTAATTTAATTTTATTTTATTTTTTGCAGTACGCGGGCCTCTCACTGTTGTGGCCTCTCCCGTTGCGGGGAACAGGCTCCAGACGCGCAGGCTCAGCAGCCATGGCTCATGGGCCCAGCCACTCCGTGGCATGTGGGATCTTCCCAGACCGGGGCACGAACCCGTGTCCCCTGCATCAGCAGGCAGACTCTCAACCACTCCGCCACCAGGGAAGCCCTCTCTCATTTTTTTAAACATGCAGGCTTCTTGGCCTATCCTTTGTCTTCCTATTTTTGATAGAGACATCATATTCTTCTATAAGTGCATGCCCCATCCATAGCAGGCAGCCCTCATTCAGCTCCAGCCAAATGTCTCGTGCCAGTTGAGTCTTATTTTTCAAGAAAAGCTAGAAATGTACATGTTCGTATTGAATCTTTGATGTTGGCTCAACAACTTTTAAACCTCTGTGCAGGTCAAACACTGTGACTTCTAGCCTATTGAATGTATATTATATATTGGGCATTACAAGTGTTCACAAAGGTGTGAATTCTGCCCTGAAAGAACTAATCATCTGATGGAGAGGCTGACAAACAACAATTATTTTACAGTCAATAGTGGGGGTAAAACTGCTTTATATAACTAATAACTTTTTCTTGTGTGTGTGTCTTATCACGCAACCAGACACAAAGTTTCTGTGCTGTCTTTGTCCTCAGCACTAAGTGCCATGCTCATAATATTTTGACTGAGTTGTCGTCCTTGTGGTCTCTTGCTTAGTCTGTACAGCTGAAATGAGCAAATGAGAACATAGATGTGCAGCCATTTCATTTAGGTCATCATCTCTCTGCATAATTAGTCTTACAGTAAGTACTGATATTTTGCAGATAGTAGACAAGGAATAAACCCTTCTGGAATTGAACCAACCTGATCTGCTATGTAGTAGTTTGTTAAAGACACAGACTATGTGTGAGAACAGAGCAGAAGGGAATGTAAAAATGCAGGGCTTCCATGTGAGTCTCATATGGGAACTCAGATTTGGAAGACTGCTATGGCTGGCACATCATTCTCAACCTTTACCTTCAGTGCCACAGGGGCCTCATGGTTACTTCTGGAATCAAGTGAAATACAAAGGCAGAGACCAAAACTCAATTATATTATTTTGCCAGAAAATAAAACCTCTAGCTCTAACATATTACCTTTGAAAAATATAAAAAATAGTTATAATATCTACAATAAGTAGTTAAAGGATACAGCTACAAAATAGAATAAGAACATCTTAAAAGGGGAAGAATTCATCCATGTAAATAAAGCATCAAAACAACTTTTTCCCCTATAACCATAGCAAGATCATCCAGTTTTACCCATAGTTCAATCAAATAAGCAAGTATCATATTTACCGTTTCATTCAATCAAGGTTAGATTTTTGATTGATGCTTTTATTATAAAATTAGCACATGTTCATTCAAAGGAAGAATTCAAAAGTGGATAAAATAGAAGCATAGTTTCACCTCCCTCCGCCATCCTACTTCTAAGTGTAGCTACCACTGGTAGCTTAGTTCATCTCCTTCCAGGCCTTCTCTGCTCTCTTGAAACATATGTGTAGGTTTGCATGTGGCCTTTTTTTCCCAAGAACATTGGAATTATGCTCTACTTGCCTGCAACTTAACTTTTCCTTCCTGTTCCTTTATTTCATGTTGATCTATCCCATTCTCTTTTAAGACTACACAGTATTTTGTAGTATTGATATAACCATCCTTTGCCCATTTCTCTGTCGTGAACCATTTAAAGTTGTGTCCAGTTTTCCACCATTACAAACAATGCTGCAGTAAATACCACCAATTTATATTTCAAGTTGCTTTTTAATTTTAACAGGGCTATGGAAACTGAAGTCATTACAGAGTTTGGATCTGTCATTCAATGGGATAGCGCAAATTGGTTTGTCTGATTTTCATAACTGCCTGCAACTAGAAAACCTCCATTTAAAGAGCAACAAGATATTCAGAATTCATCCAGAAGCCTTCAAGGACCTAAAAAAATTACAGGTTAGAAAATAGTGTTTATAATATTTCTAATATGCAGAACTATAGGCAATTATATTAGAAGAATACTTCCATTGAAGAGTTTCTTCATGCCCAGTAGTACTGGCTACCAATCAAAAAATATAAGTCTATTTTAAGATGCCCCTAAAAGAGCTGAAGTCTCTCTCTTACCTCAAAAATCCAAGGCCTCAGTAGTGGACATGAATGTGGACATTTTATTTGAACATGTATGCTCAGCAGCAAGGATTGGTACATTATTTTTCCTAAATCTAATTAAACCCAACTCCAAGCTTCCACTTACCAGTTGGCAAGAAATTAAATCTCGGTTATCAGCAAGGCTCCCTCCCTGAACTACAAGGTCAGTCAAAGGTCCCTGGGGTTTTATGCAATTTGGGACTATATGGGCCTAAATGGGCTCTGCACCCCATAGAGCCCAGGACCACATGGGCCTCTGAAGGCCAGTGACCCTGGTGCTTCCACACCAAAATTGGGCACAGAATAATACAAATCATAATGATATCAACTCATCCTTGCATCCCACTTACCACGTGCCACATGCAGTTCTAAACATCAGAGCCATATTGGGGGGATCGACATCACATTTTGGAGGCATGGTGCCTGTCTCTCGGGCAGCTTACAGTGAATCTCACCGAGGTCCTGACAGCTGGGAGTGTGAGTAACCCTAGAGCCCTGCTCTAGCTTTGGCAGCTTCAGCCCCTTCCTCCTCTCTCCTCCTCTTTGGGGAGATGTTGTAAAATCTCCCCTCAGTGCTCCTTTAGAAACACCAGGACCTAGAGATGGCTTAGGAGAAGCTTGAATCCCCCGTCCCTGTAACCTGCACCACACACCCCCATTCTTTATATAGGCCAGTATCATCCAATAAAGCATAATGTGGGCCACATATGTAACTTTAGATGTTCTCGGTAACTAGATTTAAGAAGTAAAAATAAGCAGGTGAATTTAATTTTACTAATATATTTTGTAACCCAATATATCCAGGTATTATCTTTTACTCATGTAGTCGATATAAAAATTATTAATGAGATATTTTCCATTCTCTCTTTTCATACTAAGTCTTCAAAGCCCTGTGTGTATAGCTGACCTTGGTATCCAAGGGGATTGGTTCCAGGACCCCCATGGATACCAAAATCCGTGGATGCTCAAGTCCCTTATGTAAAATGGCATAGTACTTGCGTATAACCTAAACACATCCTCCCATATACTTTAAATTATCTCTAGATTACTTATAATAATACAATGTAAATGCTATGTAAATACAGTGTAAGTGCTATGTAAATAGTTGCCTGCGCAGGACAAATTCAAGTTTTGCTTTTTGGAACACTGAGAATTTTTTTTTTTTTTTTAACTATTTTCTGTCCATGGTTGGTTGAATCTGAGAATGTAGAAACCACAGATATGGAGGGCAGACTGTATCTTACCCTTACTGCACATCCCAGTTGGGACTAGCCATATGCCAATGATCGATAGCCATATGGGGCCAATGGCTGTCACCTTAGAGGGCATCAATGAAGACAGCTGGCGTTTTCCCAGTTTTATGTAAGGTGCTCTTCAAGCATAGCTGCAAGACAAATGCCCAACCTCGCCCCCGCCCCTTTCAACCGGAATGGCCCTCCAGGCCCGTCCTCTCTCGGAGACTAGTGACGCAGTGGTGAGGGAGGTCGACTCTGCAGCCAGCTGCCTGAGTTTAAACCTAGGCTCTGCCGCTTGCCAGCCACACGATCTTGGGTAAGTTACCGAATCACTCTGTGCCTCAGTTTTCTCATCTGTAAAAGGGAGGTAAGTTGCTTCCTTTTTCATAGAGTTTCATAGAGTTTTGTGAGAATTAAATGTTTTAATCCATAGACTGTGCTTTGAACAGTAGTTGGAAGCCCTTTATAAATGTAGACTACATATAGAAATTCTAAAGTGGCTGCGACGCCCTACTCTTTTAACATACAAATCTGATTGTGAGCTTTCGCGACAAGGGCCTGGCCCCTGCTTGCCCCTCCAGCCTCATTTCAAGCCACCCTCCCCTTGCTGACTGCATTCCT